ACCTTCTGCGTGTTAAGCAGATGTGATAACCGCTACACCAACAGAACGTTATAGATTATTTTTTCCCTACAAAAGAGCTTAATTCAATATCAAATTCAATGATTCATTCGAAATAACCGCTAAATTTGACATAATCGAACTATGTACACTTCATTTTTTTTCCTAATTCAAATATGCATCATTTCGAAAATATATAGGATTGTTTTAGAAGGAAATAGCTATCATTTACATTTCTTTTTTTTCCAATTTAGATTGAATCTATTACATTTTAGCAAAATATTGACATACAAATAAATAGAAAAACAATTTAAGGAACCTGCGCAATGTAATGTATGTAAAAAAGAAACCTGATAGTCATCATAATTACTCTCTACCTAATTATTTACCTGAGCCACGCTTCACTACTTGCTTCTATTTTATTGTGCAAACATTTTTGTGTATCATGATATACGAATGCGTATGTGTTCGTCCTTGATTGATAAATCATAAGTTTTGACTTCTGTTTACTGACATATTTTGTTTTCTGATTTACAATACGTCTTATCGTTTAAGTTAATAGACATGGGTAGTTTGCTAAATAGAACTCGAAGAGGTAAATATCCTAGATTAATTTTAATAAAGAAAAATATTATACGTATACTATATATAGACATAGACGCAGCTTTTCACTACAGTCCTGATCAGTCACTACGGAATCAAACATTTCAAATTCAAGGTCATACATATACTATGGTAAGACGATTAGGAGGTGGTGCTTTTGGATCTGTATGGTCAGCTACTACATCACGTGGTAAATATTAATCTGTTATTTTGATTTTTTTTGTATATTTCAAAATAAAAATATTCTAGTTGTGAATTTTTTTTTTCAAATATATTTTAGGTCATAGTGCTGCTGTTAAAGCAATTGATATTAGTGGAAGAAGTGGTAATCAATTTGATGCTACTACGTTGATGGAATCATTTGAAAAAGAGATAAAAATGGCTTATAGAATGCGTAAAGAAACACGTCATGTCGTCACTATTTTTGGATTTGATTTTGATATGGCGAAAGGTTTAGCATTGATGGCCATGGAATTAGGTGGAGATACATTAACTGTACGAATTGAAAAACTTCATGCTATGAAGGATATGCAAAGACTAAATCTTGATACTGCCGAGATGACGCCTGTAACTGATTATATTTCACCACGTGATCGAAAAAATATATGGATACAACTAGCTAATATTGTGCAAATTTTACATCGTCATCATATTGTGAGTAAATCAACATCAAAATTAAAAAAAAATGAGAACAATTTAACTTATTTCTAGGTTCATCGTGATATGAAACCGGATAATTTAGTATTTTTTGGTCATATTATGAAGATTGTAGATTTGGGTATTGCACAAAAAGTAGTCAGAGGGTAAAACAAACATATCTAAAATATAATTTCTTATCCTGAATATATATATATATAGATCTGATGCGAATGGAAGTGGTATTGGTACTCCATATTTTAGTGCACCGGAATGTTTTACGACGGGTGCACAGATTTCACCAAAAGCTGATATATGGTCAGCAGGTGCAATTCTATACAATATGACTTACGGAGATGTACCTAAAGAAGAATCATCTCGTCCACCAAATGGTCAACGTCCAACACATTCACGTCATGTAGCAGATGTTTTACATCGCACTCTTCAATATGAAGCTCATCAAAGAGCAACGCATGCTTGGCTTGCTCGACATCCTTATACAAGCAGTCCTAGTGCTTTATAAATAATCTGGTTTTATTTTTATCGTCTTTGAGAATATATCAATGGTGATCAACAAGCAATAGGATTAACGATACATTGATTAAATACAGCAAACAGCTAAATATATATATGTTGTACCCTATAACAATTAAAAGTAATAATAAAACTAGCCTTATTACTAAGGATAACAAAAAGAAATTAATATTATCTAATCAAATTAGAACTATCAATTAAATTCTAATTTTATCAATGAGTAATTAGTGAAAAACAAGGATTATGTTTAAGAAAAAGATCTACTATAAAAATCATTTTTCGACTTTTATTAGTTTAGAATTTTTTTCTTAGTATCCAACTTAAATTTTCCTTTTTTCACACTCACTTATATATATATATATAGATTTTCTTTAATTGAATATTTACACCCATTTGAATAATTTAACACTCATTTTTTCAAAATTTTCAAGAATTTTATAAATTATTGAATTTCTAATAAATAGTCACCGCTTATAACTAAGATATTACGAGAAAGAGTACTGTGCTCTATCAAATCGTAAGATGCCACAAAAAAAAAAGAATTCCATATAATCAATGAATCCAGACAAACAAGTTTAATCCATTAAACAAACTATTTTTCATCCTTGTTTGGCCATGATTTTCTTTAAATATTATTGTATTAAGAATAAAACCTTTACTACAGCTTCCCCACTACTATTTTATGATATATTATATGTTTGTGTTTAATACAAGGTCGAAACAGCGACACTTTTGGAATGCGTACTTTTCATTCGTACTTTACTCTACGTCATACATGCTTCACTTATACGACTTCGTACTTCAAAACTATGTTGACGTAGATGAAGTATTGCTTTTCCCGCTTCGTTTAATAATAGTTTGAATTTTACTGACTATAAAAATACGTTTCATTTTTTTTTTCAAATATGAATTTGAAGTTGCTTCTTTAAGATCATCCTATTATAGTAAATTATAAATACAAATATGTTCTTTTATTCAACACATCATCTTCAATAACATCAACTAAATTTCATAGTCTCTTTTAAAAAAGAAAATTTTCTGTAAAGAAAACAGAACATGAAAAAAATAGTATCAAGAGATTTAAAAGTTCTATACGACTTTCATGTAGGAAAAAGAATGAATTTATTCAATCGACATAATCCATTTTCATTTAAAAATTCATAAGAACTCAAAACAAAATACAAATATGATAATAGTGTTATTTCAAGTTCATCGAAAACTGAGCATATTAATAAACATCATGAATTTAAATTTATAACAACACAACTAACTTGCACAGCTTCCTATTCACACATAGATACACTTAATCAACAATTTCACTCAACATCCATCAAATTTAATAGTAAAAACATATGAATTTCAACTAGTTTCCACAACAAAAAAGATTGTTTCCTATCAAACATATTTCTGTTATGAATTATTATTTATAAAAATTAATAATTATTCAATATAAGAATGTAAGTTTATTTCTAAATCAAACTAGAGATTGGCGATACAATAAGACAAAAAAATAGAAAACAATTAAAGGAAGAGTAGATGAAGATTTGTTGGTTTCAGACAATGTTATCATTTATGAAAATAGATATAAACGAACGAAAATGTTGATTATTTTCACTCAACATAATTTAAGTTTTAGTTATTAGTATATTAGAAAGTTTTGTTGATGATATTTAAAATGATTTAGGAAATGTCAATCGAATAATAGCAAATCAGTTGAATTAAGCACATTTTTTGTTCACATTATCTTTGTAAGAATCAATAAAACTACCTTCCCAATCATAAGTTGTAACAACAAACATAGTTTGTTTATCGCTTGTAAATGCTCTACCAACACCCATTTTTGTTGAACTTTTCCAGATGATTTTTGGAAAATGACTTACCATTGTCAAATCTGGATTATCGAAATTAAAGTATTTATGTTCATCATAAAAACCATCTACTATGCTGGTACCTTTGAATGAAAAAAGATTTTTTAGTAAACTCAAATCAAAATTTGTTCAATAGTTACCATGACGAGCAGCATCTCCTTTGTTAAAATAGACTGTTTGCATTTTGCTAAGATCATACACAGGTGGTGTAACATCGGCAGCAGCTAATTGATCTGCAAAATCTTGAGATATTTTGTTAAGATCTGTATCTAATGTCAACTCGGGTACACAATGTTTTTTTTCGTTTTTGATTATGACCATCTAATGAATCTTTTCTAAATATTTTGAGTGGATCGGCTAAACGAACACGTTTTTGTGGTGCTAAAATAGAGAATTATATTAATAAAATACTTATAAATTTCAATATAGATAATTATTATTTTTTTTAATTACCAAAACAGGCACCACTTTTGTAACCACCGCCAGCATCAAACTCAGCAACACTGTGCTGTAGATAGCACGTTGTCCCGGATGGCAAATATATATATCCAAAACAAATGTTCAAGTTATCACAACTTGTCATGCAATCTTCTATTGTAGCAATATTCTGAAGTGTTTGTACAGTATTACCCAAATATTGACCATCCCGAATTTCGGTGCATTTCGTTTTTAGATTGGTACCTATAAAAAAAGCATAGTAAATATTATAATATTCATATTAATAAGTGTATAGATGAAAAATTCATGTTTCATCTCACTATCTCATTATCGCTAGATTTCGAAAGTTATAAAACTGATTGTTTAATCATTATAAACTTCCAGATTACACTATTTCTGAGCAACTATTTCTAAGATTTTTGAAACTAATAGAAACGTACGAAACTATTTGAGAATAGAAGAAACGGTTAGAATACTTACATATGAGAGAATAAAACTGAAGATGAATTTCAAACTTTTTTCAAAGATTGTTTAGAATAAAGTAAAAATAATAATTTAAACAAATTGAGAACAACTCAAAGAACAGTGAATTAAACTAATGATTTACAAAAGACTATCTTCGTAACATTGTTGAATATTCATAAGAAGATTGAATGATTAAAAATAAAACATTTATTGGTAACTTACCAACACATGAACCAGATCTGACTCCATCTACTTTAATGGCACCTTTTACTGAACTGAAACCCCAACACATTTTTGTGGTAGGTTTGTAAGACCATCCAATGCATTGATCACTAAGATCACAACTGTCCATACATCTTTGTGTGGTGTCCACACCTGGAAAACTTATTGATTCCTGTCCGTGCCATTGATAACCTTCTAGAATATCTGCAGTACAATCTCCTTGGGCTTCAGTTCCTAAAAAATAAGAAAATAAAATAAATATTCGACAAATGAAATGGTACTAAAAGAATGTATTCCGTAAATATGTGAAATCTAGCTCAAGAATTTTGATTCTTTTAATTATATATATATATAGTTTAGTAAAGTTTTCGAAAGTAAAAAAAGTATGAGATGTCTAAGATTTACAACAATATTGATTACAGATTATAAAAAGGGTGACTATGATTAATGGTTGTCAAATATTTCGAATGAAGAATAATTTCAAAAGGAGAAAAACGAATTTGTAATATTTTATCTAATAAGAAATGAAACTCTATTTCACAATTTATGATACTAATATAATTACTATTCAAAGTATATGAAAATCTTACGAGCTTCGAAGAATAATCGTCTGTTGTGATTCCATTGTAATTCACGAATTAATTGACGAAAAAGTTTTACATTTGGATCATCATTATTAAACTTTTTCTTATGAGAATATGCTTGAACATTATAGTTTGAGGTGAACATAGAAACAAGGATTACACCAACAAACAGTGACATGGTTCGACATTGTTTATTCCTATAAATCAAAAAATAAAATTTAGAAATTGTTATGATTTCATATCGTGTATATTTTTCTTTGACAATGATATTCAGATAGTTTGCAACTATTGACTGATAAAAGCGTTCAATTTTAGTATGGCAATGAGAACTATAAATTATTTTTCATTGATGATAATTGTATGTGTATGCAATATTAAGAGTCATTTTATACTTTTATCTATCATATTGGTCATTCGAAAAAACAAATACTTCACATCTCTTTCTTTATGATGAAAAATTCATAAAATTCATTTACTTCATTATTTATCATAGTCAAACATTATAACAGTCATTTAAAAAAAAAGAAAAAGATTAATAAAAACTTACTGTGGCATCTTCACCAATATGCAATACAATAACAACAAGAAAATGCGAAACTTGTTGCTTGAAACCAAATGAGAAGAGATACTGAAAAAAAAAGAAATAGGTATACCTTTATCTTCTATAGAAACCAAAGAAGCGTAACGATGTTACTGTAGACAAGTAAAATAAATAGGTTAAACCCTACTTCTCTTCCTTCGCTCTCTCTCTCTGTTTCACTTTGACCATGAAAATAAAAATCGATCGTACGATATTGATAAAAAATACCCCTCAAAATATTATTCATATTTAATTTTCTTCTTATGTCAAAAAACAAAGGTAAATATATGTGATGCTGTTATGTCCCATATATCTCCTACGTATTATCTGTCATTTAGAATATACTCGACAAAACAACAAATCTGACCGATTTTTCATTTCATTGAAATAACTGTCAACTTATTTGGTAATTGTTGTTGTTGTTTAAATAAATCACTATTTATTACAATATTTTCGAAAGACACCATACATTGGCTATCACTTTCTTAACAGAAAAATAGGGATATATATCTGTCATTTTATTTTTTTTAATTACGACACTCATACGTAAGTCATGAATGTGGATAAACAAAAACAAAAAAACAGGGTTTTATCGATTACCATATCGAAGTGAGGTATATAGCTTTTCCCTCTCTTTTTTCTCTCCAATGACATACTTCTTTCTCATAAAGGTAGATGATATTATATTCATTTACAGTCATTATTTTTCGAATCAATGATCATTTGATAATATTGCTATTCTATATTCTCAGTCGCAGTTAGACAGTCGAAGCATATCTTATATACTTTCGAATAACACCTATGGTCTGACTTATATTAAAAAATTTCTTACAGTCATCTTTTTCGTAATGGATTGTAAGTAATTATTCTTGAATTCAATGATTTTTTTAGTTCATTTTTGAATATGTATATCTGAAGATATCTTTCATCAAAATATTTTATAGTATAATCGTTCAATCAATAATATTACTTTTTGGACGTACTATATTATGATGATGATCCAAATATTTTTAAGTGATATCAATGATCGATTTTTAGAGAGTGTGTAATGATTAGAATAGTTTGTTTTTGATTACTACATAGACCAATATATATTGTTATTATTATATTTTATTTTATTTCTAGATAAAAAAAGCTTTGTCCTCAATATGTTGAACACTTTTTATCTTTTATTATGTTGTTTTGTGCTCTCGTGCATTGCCTTTCGATGTGATAATCCACCACAAAAACGTGGTGATATTGGAACTCTAAAAAAATGGCCTGATAATACTATACCTTATGAGATCGACAGTGTATACAGTTCAGCTGATGTTGACTTGATTAAGAGTAGTCTTGCAGACCTCAGTGCAAAATCAGGCAATTGTGTGAAATTTGTTCCTCGTACAAGTGAACATGTTGCTTGGATACGTGTGCAGAGTTTGGATGGGTAAGTGTTTTCTTATTGTCTTCTAATGCAAATTAGACATAATGTGATAAATAAATCATATTCATTGATAGATGCTGGTCTAGAACTGGTCTAGTAGTGGAAAGTGGTGTTCAGGAGTTATCACTTGATAGAAGCGGTTGCTTGACAGCAGATACAATTCAACATGAATTTCTTCATGCTCTTGGCTTCCCTCATGAACAAAAACGTCTTGATAGAGATACTTATGTAAAAATTCTTTATGAAAATGTAGAACCAAGTACGATCGACAGTATAATTTTTACTTTTATCATTATATAAGTTTATTTTAGAAAAAAAGCACAACTTTGATAAAGATCCTCAAGGTTCCATTCTGAGTTTTGGATTACCGTATGATTTTAGTAAGATGAACTGATAATAATATTATAGTTCTATATACGTTATATAATCTTTATTCATCTTATTTAGATTCCATTATGCACTATACCTCGGACAGCTTTTCTACAAATGGTTTACCTGTCATGGTACCCGCTTCACAAAATGATAAAAGTTGGCGATATACAATGGGTGCGGGAAACAAGTTGACCGAGACTGATCTTTACAAAGTGAAGAAGGTATATGGTTGCATTGCCTAGAACTTTTTAATTATTGACTCATTTTTTAAACTATTTTTTTTTATTTTTCATTCATTTCCAAATAATAAATTATAGCTAGAAATTTCATCTAAGAATTCAATATGAATACTATAGAATGAATATAAGTATATAGTCCATAGATGCCGATCATTTTCTGAGGACATAGACTTGTCTATTGTGGCTAGACTTATATTCTTATCACATAATCATCAGCATAATAAAAATGCCATCATATCTCGATCAACTACAAGGAAAAAATGTGAATGTCGTGTTCAGACTAGAATAGAACTATTATCATTAATTTATCATGTTTGTTCCTCGAAATAAATTACATATTTCTAAATAGTAAAATACCATTATAAGTCCTTGATAATCAATAATTTCATTTAGTGTTAAAAATATATTTCTATATTGTTATTCAATTTCAGACTCAATTTAAATCTTCTTGAAATATTCGTATATAAGAATTCAAATAAATTTTGATATTAAAACCATAATATACAAATTCATATCTCTATTGAAATAAAACTCTGATAAAAAAATGTAGGAACAAGGTAGAAAGAAAATATTATTTCCGTTTCCATATATACCCTTTCGTATTTACTCATTACTCAACAAGCAGTTCTCGAGCTTATTTTCGAAGAATTTTCTTTATCTAAAGTAAAACATCATAAATGATATCACTTTTCAAATAAATATGCATAATGGTTATGTTGATCTTTGACGATTTTTTTTAGAAATCTAAATAAATTAATAGGAAAGAATAAGATTCTTATTTAATGTAGAATATTTGATACTTTTCTAATTGATTATGTTGTTAACGAAATCGATGGGTATATAAGCATACAAATATAGTTAACTAAGCGGATAATTATGTTGATATTTTTGTTGTTGTATATGTGAAATCCTTTGTCAATATTTAGATAAGACAACGAGAACATTAATTTGTTTATATTTTCATGAAGTAGATCTTTGCTTGAAATAATTGAGAGATATTAGATCAGAATAATTAAATGAATAGTAAATGAATTTGAATAGCATAATAAACTTTTCCTTTATCTACCATTTTCTAATCTTTTTTTTCTTCTTTGGATTGTTGACAATGCATATTGCCGCTTTTCTTTGCCGATCAACATACACATCTTGTTTTCTCTATCCGCGTCTCTCTCTCCCTCTCTCTCTCTCTCTTTCCTTCCTTTACTTTTGCTTCTTATAGAGTGTTAGCGTGTGCCTCGTTTTATACTCTACGATTGTGTTCTCGCACATTATTCTTATTCCTATTACACGTAGCGATTGCACGCTTGCCATCCCCGCAAGGTCGAATACACTCGAGTATATACATTAATGAAGATAGTTTGATCATTTTCTGCTTGTTCTTATTCTCTCTTTTTTTTTCTTCTTTATTCACACACTTATTTGTACATATATCCATTTAAAACTAATACTTCAGATGCTTTTAATGTCTTAATTATTAATTTATTGTTGCCGATCAATCTAAGATAAATTTATGAATTTATATGCATCAATATGATAGAAGAAAATACATGCAAAATGAATCGTGATGGTAATAATAATAATGATGATGAGTCTCAACAAGGTAAATATAATTTTTTTATATAATTATTGTCAATATGTTGATATTTTTGCGAAGATAAAAGGCTTTATAACAATAATCGCTTGAATAGCAATGTCTAACTGTGAAAACAAACGATCATAAGAGAGAAGAAGAAGAAGAAAAAAAAGAAAGAAAAACCTGCTTATATTTATTTATAATATAATAGCATAGTATTGTTAAGAAGAACAGAACAAAATTCATACATTCTGTGCATGAATTTGACATTATATTAATATTAGATTAACCGTTAGTAGACCGTCGTCTTCTGATGATTATATATGTAATAAGATTAATGTGGTCGTAAAGTGTAGAAATATAGAATAATACAAGTAGTAGTAGTAATATTGATGATAAAAAAAAAAGGACGTATAGCGTATATGCGTGGTCTCAATCAGATACGCATAAAAAAATGTGACCCAACCAATAATACGTGTTAAAAGAAACAAATCAAAAGAAAATAAAAGAAATAAAAAAAACATAAATAATGAAAATATCGAATATATTTTATTCTTATAGAAGAGTCATCATCTCGTCATTTACTTTTCGCACTTGAAGATTTACTAAAAAGAAGTCATAGTAATTCCATATTCACATCAAAGATCAAATATCAAAGTAAAAGTGTTGATGATTTACTTATACATCGTCGTCATCGTCGAGAAAATTCAACAAATGATAGTAATAATATCTCAATTGCAACATTAACAAATCTTGATTCATTTGAAATTGAATATGATGATGATGATGAAGAAAATAATAATGATTATGATTCACATTTACAACGAAGTAGATCAACACCTATTCTATCAAAAGAAATCTATGATAAAGAATTAGCTGCTTTTGTACAGTGTGATCAACAACAACAACAATCAACTATTGATAATTTTGTTTATAATATCGATTTATCTGATCCGAATGATACATCAGATCAGTTACAATCAAGATTAGCCGTATTTTTTGTAAGGGCTTATTATTAATTATAGAATTAATTTATTTATAAATTTTTGACAGGAAGATGATTATTCATCTGAAACAATAGATTATGAACCAATTGATAATTTTATTAGCTCTCCATTGATCAATAGTTGTTTAACTATAACTGAAGAAAATGAAGAAGAACTTGAACAATTACGTCGTGATGATGATGATGAAAAACAACAACAACAACAAGAAAATCTCTGTCTAGAAATTAATAAAAGTTTAACCCCAATAATTATATTAGTCGATAATAATAATGATGAAACTATTCTATTTGAGAATGATAATCAAATTGAAAATATCGATGATTTATCATTAATAACTATGGATCAACGTGAAGATTCCCTCGATCGTCTTTCAACTATATATGAATCACCAAGTCCGCAACCTGATACTGAAGAAGACCTAGTCAATGATGATATTTATGATAAATTAGTCGTCTATGATATTGCAACTGTTAATAAATCAACAAAAGTAAATAGAATATATATATATAAATAGAATATTATTTATTTAATTTCTTCTAATAGTATTCCATTATTCATCCAATCCCGAAATCTATTATTTCAACAACTCTATCCTATCATTCTCCGATTACGTCTGATCGAACGCGTATTGATTCACGCTATACAGATGCTTCAATGGAAGGATATTCAAAGCTTAATAGTACTCTTTCAGTGTCTCGATTGTGTGGGACAACAGCTACGATTATGTCAAAAGTTTATAATCAATCACCTTTAACAATAAGTCACAATGAAAATTCATCGTCATCACCAGTAATCATTGCTGATAATTTGTCTTCATCATTATCATCTAAACAACAAATACCATCACGATCTTCTCCAATGTTACTCTCATCTTCTATACAAGAACAATCAGTACCATCGCAACCATTCTCTCCACATATTAAAACAATGAAAGTCATTCAATCTTCATCATCGAGTTTGTCAGATTTTATTTCATCATCATCAATACCACCATTACAAAACACAAGTAAATATATATATGGTTTGTCATTTATATAATTGATTTATTTCTTTAGTTCATTATAAAGATATTCCAGATATTCATCATTCTTTGACAGATTGTTCATTAGTTCATCCGACTTCGTCTTTAATTGATGAAAATAATTTAATAAAAAAAACAAATATCAAACAATAATGAACGAAAAATTTCATTTAATCGACGTATTCTTACAAATGGTCTTTTACGTACACATTACGCAAGAAATCCTATTCCTCGTTGTTTACGAGAACCATTTAATTCTATTGAAAATAATTCTTATCCAATGAAAGTCAAAAGTGAAGAGAAATTTCTCTCGGATACATCATCATCATCAGCGGAATTACTTTCATCATCTGATGAAAAACTTTTAACTCGATCTGAATATATTTTTCGACAAGAACAAAATAATTCTCAACAACGTAAAGCATCTAGTCTTAAAAGTATTTTTATGACATCACCTCAATTATCAACAAAAATTCTTTATCCAATTGATTTTGACACAAATAATATAAATACATCTTGGCTTCAAAAACGATCATCTGTTCCATATAAAGTACCAACCTTTGATTCCGGCATTGTTATTGATACGAATCCAACATCAAAATCAAGTATTAATGAAGTATGAAACAAAAAAAATTGTTTTTGAATAGTTGACCTAGTTCTTTCTTTTATCATATTTATGATATCTACCCTTCAAATAGAATAAATATTCTTAGTGGTTTTTCCCATCATAGATTAAATCAATTGATTTTTATTGATTCAATCAGGACATGTATCGGGGACAAGGCTTAGCAATGTTTTCTGATCGATGAAATTAGATTTACTTATTCAATGTTAATTATATTAAATAATTACTTTTTTTTAGGACCCTAGTCATGGTACAATCAATATGAATCAATTAAAACATTATGAAACATATTATCATAAAATTTTAACTGATATGACTTATATTAAAAAGAATATTGTCGATATTGAAAGTCGCCTTAATGAAGTTATGCGAGAGGTAAGATATTAGAGATGAACATCATATTTTTTCTATTATTATGTATAATTGGCTCCTTCGGCTAAATCACTTTCCTATGCTTTCCTTGATCTTCTCTTTTTCTGACATGTGCGTGTCTGTCTTTCGGTAGAAAAAAATTTCTTCTTTATGTACATAGTCATAAAGAAAAGAACGTTCCAAATCTAAACCAAGTACATATCACGTATTGTACCATCTGTTAACCGATATTTCTTTTTATTATACATAGAATTATCGTCTAATTACAAATTCTTTCGTCACAAATCAAAGAAGAAGAATAAGAAAAATGATGATTATTTTTTTTGTCTTCCTCATGTAAAGAATATTAGCAATAGATTGAATAGAGAAGAAAAGATCATGTCTAGTGTTACTATTACATTCAATGATGATAGTTATAATTATCGACTGTGTCTGATAATAAAAGAAAAACGTTGTATTCTATACCGAAATCTTTTTTTGTTTTATTTTTTAGCTCCAAATTGAACAAGCATTGATTGAAGGTGAACATGAATTAGTATTTAAACAAATCTTAGATGCAAGTGAAAGTGATCAACAAAAAATACGACAATTACATAAAAAATTTACAATTATTAGTTGAACGAATAATGACGGAAAAAGATTGTGTAAAAAACAAAAAAGTTCATTTTTTTTCTATCTAAAAATAATACTTTTTATATTTAGATGCGAAATGAAATCAGTTATACTCAACAAATATTATTTAGACTTGAGCATGAATTACGTGATTATGAACAACAATATCGTGCATCAGATGAGAAAATTCTTCAGTATAAATTTTAATTCGAATATTTATATAAAATTCTTAATAATATATTTTAGGAAAAAAGAAATTATTTCTGCAACTCGAAAAAATTATGAAGATTTAGAATTTCAATTAATGGAATTAGAAACACGTTGTGAATCTGAACTTGAGCAAAGTGAAGAACATTTTCGAAATGAACAAAAACTTGTTACACAAAATGCAAAAATGCGACAAGTAAAATATTTCATATGAAAAAAAAAGAACTTAGAAAAACTCTTGTTTATCTTTAGAATACTTTACGTGAACTTGATCATCAACAATATATAGCTTTACATCAAGCAACAATGGAAAAAGATAAACTTGAACGTGAAAAACAAAAACTTCAATTAATTTATAAACAGAAAAAAATTGAAGCAAATGAATTCGAACGAAAAATACATGGTTAATAAAATTTATTTCTAATAAAAAATTTTTTCATTTATATAATTTTAGATATATGGTCCAATAATAATAATACTATCCATCAATCAACTCCATTACATCTATATAGATCATTAAATTATCAAGATGAATTATCTACATCAAAGTATGATTTCTCCAAAACTTTTTCTTAAAATAAATTCTATATTCTTTTAATTAGAACGGGAAAAACTGATGATTTAAATGAAATGATGAATAAAATTAAATTCGAAAAAAAACCTCATCATGAACCACAAGTAGAATAATTAATAAATATCTATATTTTTATTCTATATTTATTTTTAAGTTACGTGAACGGTTTGAGGAGAATATAAATCGTGTTGAATGCGAACAAAAATCAACTAATGATTATCAAGTTAAATTACGTGAAAAAACTCGTGCACAAGTATAAAAATTAGTTTTTGTTCTTTAATTTATCTTATTTTTTCTCTCTAAGGAACGTCCATTAACACGTTATTTACCAATACGTTCAGCTGATTTTGATCTTCGTGCACATATTGAAGGTGCTGGTCATATTTTAAATTCATCACACATATCTCTAACATCAACAACATGTCGTGGTTATCTTCATAAAATGGGTGGAATTAAATTTAAAACATGGAATCGTCGTTGGTTTGTATTTGATCGTGAACGTCGTTCACTATCATATTATCATGATAAAAATGAACTAAAATTACGTGGTTGTATTTATTTTCAATCAATTCTTGAAGTTTATATTGATCAATTACAATCAATATCTTTACGATCACCTGAACCACGTGAAGCAACATTTATCGTTAAAACAATTCAACGACCTTATTATTTAGTTGCACCGACAATTGAATTAATGCGTATATGGATTGATGTTATTATAACGGGTGCTGAAGGAGGAAATACATTTGCTAATGCTTAATATTAAAATCATTCCGATTTTCTATTGTTGTATATAGAATATATATATATGATGCCGCTTTTTTATTTCTTACAAAAAATATAATTAATCAAATTTTTGATTATTCGAAATGATTTTTATAAAAATTTCTTTTCTTTTTTTTCTTGTTTGTTTATTCGCTATATTAAATGATATGGTTGAAATGACAGATAGAATACAAATGTCATATATTCATGGTCTATTTTTGTTATGTTAGTTGACAGTTTGACATTTTCCAATGAATCTTTATGATGTATTTTGATTGACAATAAACAGAAAAAGTTTGCTGATAGATAAACAAAATTGTATATTGATAAACTTTATACAATTATCTTTTATTTTATTCGATATAGGCATATAGATAATCGAATTTCATTGTTAAAGATCATTTACACATTCTGAGAAGATTCATTTTACTATAATTCAGAGAAATTTGTTCTAAGACAAAATCAATGAATCGAGAATATTTAATCACATGTTAAAGATATATACTTTCTTCCAAAATAAAAAAATAATAATAACATTACAGCAACGTATTTTCTGAATTATTAGAATAAGAATTCATCTCTCTAGTGCACATGATTACATTACTGTTATTTATATAATAACGATTATCAGAAAGATATTCTACTTCGTTATTCAGATCATTGAATCATATATTGTCTCGAAATCGATACGTGCAAGTAATATGTATCGATTATTTTTAAATGCTAATAAATCAAGAATATTAATGACGATGAATAAAAATAGACATTAATTCAAATATTACGAAATCAATGAAATACTATTTCCTAAGAATAATAAATTTTGCATAAAGTTTATTTAAAATCTTCTGAGAATGAAAAATCTAACTTTTGGTAATTGTCGAAAACCTCAATAGATTATGAGTAATTTTATCATAGTTTGTAAATCGTATCTTTGGCAATTTTATTAATTAATGTAGTTCAAATGATAAATGATTAACCTTCGATTATTATAGCATAGTACTTAACAGTCTAATAAATGCGAACTTCTGTAATTTTAAGGTCAAATAACTGTTAGCAGTGGCATATATACCACTATTGAAAAGATCAAAAGATCGATTGTTTTCGAATTTCCAGAAGTATCTAATTATACACTACTGAGAATCCAGTAATAGTTTAATGTCAACATCCTAGCTCAAAACAATTACTTCTTGCCAAAAGTTCACATTGACATTTTATGAAAATCATTAAAAATATTGAAAGAATTCCATATATGCATGTATTTGATCATTATAACGAAGAAAAACAGGCATTTAATCAATTTTCTTTTCTTTCAGTTACCGATCGTAAACTATTTCATATTTATTCGCCGGGTATTGATTATTGATCGGTTCTAAAACGTAAAAATTAATAGATAAGCTTAGATTTCAATCGGAAATATTTCTGCTTTTTTCCATAATGCAAAAAGATTTAAATGACATATTTCTTTTTTTTTCTTCTTCCGCATTATATCGGTCTATTCTTATTAAGAGTATTAGTACGTGTCGAAATCTACTTAAATATTTTTTACAATCGTCATTGAGAGATAAGTTCATGAGAATGAGTACAAACTTTCATGGTTATATGTGTTAATCAACAAATTAATTTGGTTTTATTTATTTTAACGTATAAATACTATGAACGATATTTTCGTGTTCTAAATATAGATAATAGAGATATAAGTAGGCTTATTAAGAGTAGACGAAGAAAATTTCTTCGATTATTTTTTTGTAAAGAATTTCGGCACTTTAATTTTACTCAGGATATAAACACTTGCAGTAATTAATTATATTTTTGTTTACTGACATACGACAGATGCTTTACGTCTCTTTATAATGAATAAGCATACTTATTCACAACTTTATCTTACTAACCGGTAAAAATTTTTTTACAAAGAAAAAACGTAATTATATTCTCCGTAGGTTCATTACATTATTAAAAAGCAATTTAAACGATTAAATACTAAGGATACTATATTAACAACATGTTCATTCACTATTTTCATCATTTATATTCAAAACAACAAGTTAGTTAATAGAATAACCAACGAGATTTCATGAAGATGAAGCACAAACTTTTATATTTAGTTAAGTTCGCAAATCAATGTCATCCAGTATTCTATAATATAAGGAAAAGCAAGTGCATTAAGATTTTCTTTTTATATAGAGATATTTTAAGTGCATTATCCTATATGTCATATACAGAGAATTATTATTGATCGATTAGAAATAAGAATATTTTAGTAGACTTGGTGAGCAATAATCTGACATATGCGTACGTGTTTTGATATAAGTTTTTAATAGAATCTTTTCTTTGTCACTTTTCTTTTTGCCAAGTAAGTATATAAATGCGACATGCAATGGTTATATTCTTATATTTTTATTTCATAATTAATGACATATTTTGTTTTTGTTTCAGATGGGTATAAATTTATCAAAATCTTCATTAACAAATACTGAATATTTATTAACACTTTCATCAACAAATAATTTTTATCGAAAACATTCAATAATTCAAGGTGAATTTTATTTGAATGCTCGAAGAAAATTATGTATTGAAAAAAAGATTCGTGTTGATTTAATTGGTCAATTAATTGAACATAATAAGCCTTCATTAGATACAAAAAAAAGTTCATCACTAATTTCTACAAATGAAATTTTTTTTACATATTCATTTCCACTTGTTACATCACATCAAAATGGTATTGCAAGAATAATAAAACAACAACAAATTACATTTCCATTTCGTATTCCACTTGGCATAAATTTACCACCATCATGTGAATTTAAAGAATTTTCTATTGTATATTATCTTGATATTTATCATGATGGACGATTATTACCAAATATGAGAAAAAAAATTATCTTAGCACCACCAACACCTCATATTAACATTCCTTTACCTTGTAAAGTAACAGGTATTTACATCGTTTTAATATTATATTCTTATTTTCCTAGACTTAACGAAAAATAAATAGATTATTTTTTTTTACCTGATTTTCAGGTAAAAAACCTGAATTTAATCCAGAGAAAAAGATAATAACTCGTTATTATCGCATACACTTTGAAAAGATTAGTAAAGATAGGAAAAAAAAGAATAACAGACACAGTGCAAATTTATTGTCTAATGAGAGGCATTAAGTGTAAGTATGAAAAAAGTAGAGTAAATAGTTTCAAACTTTTCAAGTTCATATTAATATGTAATAAATTCCTATGTAATATTGCATATTTGTATTTATTCTAAAACATCTAACTATAGAATATTCTCGTGTTTCATATTTGAATTCCATATGGATTAGCTTAATAAAGTTCTATTTTTTCTTTTAATAGATCTGAATAATCTAACAATGATATGTAGTTTACAAAAATCATTTTATTCTGGTCGTGATGGTTCTATTGTTCCATTATTTATTTCAATAAAAAATTTCAAACAAAATCAAATTCAAACGATAACAGTTCAATTAATACAAACTATTTCATTAAATGGAAAAAAACATGAAAATGAAATATTTACAAGTAATTTGAATGAAATCAATGAAAATATACAAGAAAATCAAATAGATACAATATTTGAATTAAATTTACCAACAGATTTACCACCAACTCATATTCCAAATGATAATTGTCAACCTGATAATGTTCCATCTGTTGCTATTACATATGAATTTCGTATACAAGGTCAAATCAATGATGAAATCATTTCTAATCTACATTTATCTGTACCGATTGGCATAGAATAAATTCAAACTCTTTACTTTTTTTTTCTTTGTACAATAAATTCTTTCATTTTAAAACGTTTTGTTTATTTTCATTGTTAAATTGCATTTTTGTTAGTGAATGTTATTGGTTCGATAAGCATACGACGACAAGATCGTTTGTTAGTTGTTGACGGCGAAACAACTGAAGGAGCTGATACAGTAGTATTAAGTTGGCATACCATTGATTTTACATAATTCTTTCGAATAGAACATGTTGGATCTAATTGAAAAAAAATAAGTTTAGAAATTTGATTTAATTTTTCTTTAAGTACCTATGCCATTTGGAGATTTACTAATATTTTTATCGTTTATTGATGATGGTTGGGTTGGAGTAGGTAATGACTGAAATAAAAGGTTATTTTATTGATATTGATTAATAAATCTTCGAAAAAAATATACTTGTAATTGAGCGGTATTATTTATTGTTTCTACTGGATTTTGTAGAGAAGTCATGGTATTATTTATAATTGTTGAAGATGATGGTTTTAATTTATTAAAAGATGAAACAAGTTTTGACGATGGTTTTAAACGAGAACCATGCATTGTTGTTATGGTAGATTTTGGTATTTGTGAAATAAACTTATGAATATTTTTTGGTGGTACTGGAGGCGGAGTATTATTTGATGATGTATCATTAATTTCACAGTTCGAAGACCTTTCATTTATTGGTGAAAGTTTTATTTCATCAATTATAGATTTTTCTTGAGTAGGAATTGTATTTGTTGATATTTCTTGATGTTGTTTTTCATATACTAATTCAAATTGTTCTGCAGTTGTATTTTCTCGAGTAATTATAATAGGCGGAATATTGATTAATAAATCATTATTTGTAGGTTTATAGAATGTTTCAATTGTATATGTTGTTTCTTCTTCTTGTAAATTATTTGTTGTTTGTTCATTTGTTGATACTAATTCTGATGATATTAATTTATCGGAATTTTTTTTTAATTTACAAGTAGTTGAATTATCCATTATTTTTTCATGAATTTGACATTTTTCTATCGTAGATGCAATTGAATTACTTAAATCATTAAATTTTTTAATAATACTAGCAATTGAATCTAATTTTTCATCATTTTCAACACTAGAATCAAATTTTGTACATGAAGAAAATGTATCCAATTCAATAGGTTTTACTAATTTTGGTTTCGAAAATAATATAGGTGGTGGAACTTTACTTTTTTCGATTGAATTATTTAATTTTAATGAAGAATATTTTTCTATATCTGAATCTATTGATGATGGTAAACAAAATGTAACACTTGAGGATTTTTTTGTTTCATTATTTGATAAATCATTAATACCACGTGCTACTAAATTAGCATATTTTGAAATTGAATCTGTTGGATGTATATAGACATCTTCTAAATATTCTTTTGCCAATTCAAGTGCATCGATTGTCGAACGATATTCTGTATTGAGACGATCTACACATTGATTCCATGTTAATGTCGAGGACGATGATGATGATGATGATGATGTTGGTAACGGTCGTATGATCGAAGAAGCAGATTGATCACATGAACTTGGTACAAGAAATGAAGATTCCATTTGACTACAAATGAGTAATGGATTATCATATAATGAATTCGATATTTGATGATTCGATGATGAATTATTATTATTATTATTATTCGCTGGTGGATAACGAAAGGGTGGATAAATACGTGTTGAATATCTCATATCAGGATTAAATGTTGGGTCTTTGTTGTGTGAAAATGAGTCTATAGTTAAAAGATAAAATAGAAATTACTTTCTTTTATTTTTTCAAATATCTTACTACGTTTATCAATAGATATAGAATAATGTTGATTTTGTTTATTTAATAATTCATTATAATATTGTTTAGGATATAGTAATGAAGGTTTTAAATATTGTTTATATTTTTGTTGAAAATAATTTAATGGTAATTTATCATAATTTTGATCATTATCCATAACTCGATAAACAATCATATCTGTAGGATTTATCTTATCAACTTTTGTACCTTTTGTTATTGAAATATTCGTTGTACGTGCTATTGGATTTAACATAAAATCAAATTTTCTTGTTTCTTCATTCATTATAGTTGTATTAGTTATTGAAGGAGTCGATGGAATATCAATAGTATGATTTTGACAAATTGTTATTGATGATGATGATGATGATTGTTCATTATGACGTTTAAGTTCTAATGAACGAAAAAATGTTCGTGCTTTTTCAACTGCACTATTAGCTGATGTTGAATGAGGTAATTTTTTTAAGGATTCTATGTCAAGAGAATGAAAAAAAAATATAAAAAAAGAATTTCTTTTTTTTTTTTGTTATTATAACTTACTAAATTTTGATTTGAATCGATTTTCAGTTTTCGAACATTTTTTATCTTTTTTCATTACTGTTTGACTAACTTGAGATTTTTGTTGTTCAATCTCGTCGCGTTCATTCATATTGATGAGTTTAGTTCTTCTTTATTTTATTCATTGAATATGAACACATACCTATTCATTTATCAATCGATGAAAAGTAAATGGTTGAATGAATGAATATATGAAAATGTTTTAATAATATATATGAGAGAAACTAAGCATGACAACGAATGATGTATATATATCGACAAGTTATCCGATCAACAATAACTACACTTGTGCAATCGTTTTATCAATGTATTTTTACAAATATGAACGAAAGGAAAGAAATTAAAAGTGTTGACAAATGCATGTTCTTCTCATCAATGTCAATAAGTAAAAATTGAGTGTTCAATTATAACACTTTTTCATAAGTGAATTAAATGAATTCTTATATACTGATGTTATTTTTTCACTTTTTTTCAAGATTAAATAATCTATTTTATTATATAGGTATGAGAGACAGAGAGAGACAAACTAAAAGGTAATAAACAAATAAGTATCTTAAATTATCTATGAACAAAATAGATATAAGATGTATATACTGTTCATCTTTCTCATTTGTTTGATTTGCAGTGTGACATGAAAAAAAAGTAGGAGGTGATATTCATCAGTCGTAAGTGATGTATATCACTATTGTCGTCGTATATGTAAGTGTAGGAGAATGTAGACACACTCATTCAACGATATTTATCTACTCATTTTGTTGACATCGGTTGATTATTATCAATCTATTGTGTTAATCGAAAAAAGAATGCATGAATATGTGTGATCGATTGAAATGAATCATGAAATTTCATATTTTGTAGAAAATTACAAAATTTATCTCTTTTGTTTTCAAATATTTATAACTTTTTTATTTCGTTTTGATAAATGTTTATCAAAACTTACAGGATATTTGCTATGAACATCAATAATGAGTATCTCATAATGCCCTTGGGTTATATATATGTTCTTGAATTTGATAGTTTTTAACTGACACAATCAATATCAATTACTCGTTTTCTTGTTAAAAAATTTCAATTAACTGATCAAGACAATTATCAACAAGGAAAAATTGATACATTCGACGAGATATCATTAATGATCCAATTATGAGATTTAAATCAACATATTTCGAATATAATGAAATTAAAAACGAATTACTAAAATATATTCATAATCTCTTGAAATGTTCGAATAAATTCTTCATTAATAATCATTGAACATAAGTAGTTGTACTCTACTATATATATTTTTTTTGCAATTAAATGTAAATGATTTATATAGTTATTCAAGATTAAAATAAAATTATATATTGAAAGAAATTTTTTTTCTTCAATTTTAAAATCATATTTTTCTTATCTATAATGTTGGTATAATCAACTTCTCTACTAAAAGTTACCATAATTTACTGTAGTCATTTGTAATACATAAATATTATATATAAAAATTTATCATAATCATCGAATAGAGATTTAGTATTGAAGTATGCTTTACTAAATATGAAATTAGTCTTCTAGCTAGTTATCATAAAAATATTTAATTAAATATGTTTTTATTAGAAAAACAAGTATTATTTTAGCTGTCGTATATATATCTTTTGTAAATTTCTAGATTCTTCTTTCTTTTCTATTCTTATTCTATTTTAACGTTACTGACCTATATAGATATTATATCTTTTACATCATTTTATTCTAAATACCGACAAATTATAACTGTGTATTGTTCATGATATAATCTACTCTTTCATCTCATTTTTCATTGTATATCAGTAAAAACTATCTAATGAAAGAAACAATACAACATAGATTTTACAAAGATAAAATAACGTTGTATATCGATAAGTCTATTGATTCAATTAATCTTTCTTTGAAGTTTGAAAAATATTTTTTCACTACATGAATTAAGTAAATGTCGTGTTAGACATTCATAACAAAAACACACCTCCCTCGAATATAGACGAAAGCATATTTTTCATACATTAAAATATGCATTGTCATCGTTTACCTCCTTTTTCTTTCGTTCTGTTAGCTATTTGTACATCATGACAAGGCAAAGATATAATCAGTGACACGTATCATACACCCTGTTTTCTCGTATATATATATATTCAGCTACTTGCACATGTCTTTTACATATATATTTTTCGTTTCTTCAGAGACTATTTTTTCTTCATATAATATTTATGGCTACATACAAACTTTATTATTTCAATGGACGTGGACGTGCTGAAGTATCACGAATGATATTTGCTGCTGCCGGTGAAAAATATGAGGATATTCGTTATGAACAAGATAAATGGCCAGAACATAAAAGTGAAATGCCATTAGGTCAAATGCCTGTTCTTGAATTTAATGGAACTAAATTACCGCAATCAGTATCAATTGCTCGTTTTCTTGCAAAACAGTTTCAATTAGCCGGTAAAGATAGTTTTGAACAAGCACAAGTTGATGCTGTTGTTGACACAATAAATGATTGCGTAACAAAATATGTACCAATTCGTCGTGAAGAAGATGAAGCTAAAAAAGAAGAATTAACCAAGAAGTTCCTCGCTGAAGAATTACCAAAACATTTACAAAATTTTGAGACTCTTGCTAAATTATATAGTAAAGGTGGTCATTTCTTTGTTGGTAATCAATTAACATGGGCAGATTTACTCTTCTATGACGTTGGAGCAATAATTCTACAAGTAGACAGTAATGCTTTTAATAATCATGCATGGTTAAAAGACAATCGTGCTGAAGTTGAAAAACAACCTAAAATCGCAGAATATCTTAAGAGTCGACCCAACACACCATTTTAAAGAACAAAAGTCAAATTAATAAACATTCATAGATTTTTATTGTGATTTTTTTATTGATATTTCAAATAAAGAACTAAAGTAAAGCTAGTTGAAATCATTTTTCTGTTTCTATTCTAATCAATCTTATTTTTCTCAAATGATGATAATGAAATATTCCAAAGGACAACTATATAATTGACGTAGATCTTAATCGATCCTTTATGACACGTTATTTTGAAGTAATGGATGATTGTCTCTCAAGTACATAGTGGTAATTTTTTGTTAGTCAAACAAGTTTGGTAGTATAACATCAATGAAAACAAGAGTATTGTACACACATTTGAATTTTTGTCTATTGTTATTCTTCTTAATTTTGATATGTTGTATCTTGAGATTTTTCAATATATATATAATTATATTAAAGTACAGTTTGGTTAACTACCTAATTCATACTTCTCTGCTATCATGATTATGAAATTGACGATAACCTACCTTTGTCTTTTTTTCCATACAAATCAAATATATTACTAACAAGTTACTTCAATGAAAACTAGTAATTATATTATTTAAGTTAATCGATTTGCCATCTCAGTATAGTAAGTACTACGTCATTAATGAAATATGTCAACAGATCTTTGAAAAAGTCTAATAATGATATTTTTAATCTTATGAATTTTGGTTAAAAGTATCTACTGATTAGTTCGATGATATTCGTATTTATTGATAAACATTAACTTAGCACTATTGGTATCAATTCAGTTATCTTCTAAGAACATAATGTAAACCACTATACAAGACATGGATAAGTTATATTTTTAGAAGAAGAAACTTGCATTTAATCAATTAATCATTAAAATAGAACAAAATAATAACTAACTATTACGAGAATATTCCTATCGAATTCTTTCCAATATTTACATTTACTTATCGAATAGCTATGCACTTCTAGTTAATAATCAATTAGTTATACTTGGGATAAATCCATACTTCAATTATATTTACAAACTAGTTCTTACACAAAATCTAGATTCATTTTTTGCCTTTATTGTCTACCCTAGAAAAGATATCCATTTATTTCCATTTATTCGACTTTTTCTTTTAGTCATCGAAGCAAATACGAAAATAAACCAAACCATAATACATATATTCTTTGTTCCTCTAAAAACAAATAACTATAAAAGAAATCTTTTATATTTTGTTAGAGAAATTCTCTATATTCTATTATTTATTTCATTAAAAATACATAACCTTGACAATGCAGCATAGTGCGTAGTCTCTTGTTTATGTTTACTAGGAACATTATAAAAATGCACTGTCATTATTTGTATTCTATTTTCTTTTATTTTCCTTTCCACGTGCTTGTCGTGATGATGATGAAGCAAAAAAAAATGCATGTCATGCTTCTCCTCTCTCGCCTATAAATACCACACCCCACATACCACATATAGTTACTTTTCTTCTATTCTATAATAAATTTCACTTTAGACAAAATCAATGCCATCATACAAACTTACTTATTTCAATGGACGTGGACGTGCTGAAGTATCACGATTGATATTTGCGGTTGCCGGTGAAAAATTTGAAGATGTTCGTTATGAAATGGATCAGTGGCCAGCACACAAAGCTGAGATGCCATTAGGTCAAATACCTGTTCTTGAAGTCGATGGTGTTAAACTACCACAATCAGCAGCAATTGCAAGATTTCTTGCAAAACAATTTCATTTAGCTGGCAAAGACAATTTCGAACAAGCAAAAGTTGATGCTGTTGTTGATACAATTGACGATTCATTCAAGGGATTTGTACCAACTCGTTTTGAAAAAGATGAAGCTAAAAAAGAAGAATTAACAAAGAAATACTTTGGTGAAGAATTACCAAAACATTTACAAAATCTTGAGACTCTTGGTAAACTATATGGTAATGGTGGTCATTTCTTTGTTGGTAATCAATTAACATGGGCAGATTTACTCTTCTATACTTTCGCACAAGCATGGATTGGAGTAGAAGCTGATTGTTTGAATAATTTTTCATGGTTAAAAAAAAATCGTGCTGAAGTTGAAAAACAACCGAAAATTGCAGAATATCTTAAGAATCGACCCCAGACACAGTTTTAAAGAACAAAAGTCAAACTAATAAACATTCATAGATTTTTATTGTGATTTTTTTTACTGATATTTCAAATACAGAACTGGAGTAGAATTCCAAATCATTTGTCTCTTTTTACAGTCTAATCAAACTTAATGCCATATAAATATTCTATTGTCGATGTATTGAAATTGAAAAACTATTGTGAATTAAAAGTGAGTCATGCATATATTGTAGCTATATTATTTTATGAGATACATCGTCTATGATTTGACATTTGTTTTCATGAAAAAAGCCATCATTCAGTATATACAAAGTTAATTTTAATTTGAAAACAAACCAAAATATGCACTGTCATTATTTCTGTTCTATTTTCGCTTGTTCATTCTTCAAATATATGTTATGATGGCGAAGCAGAATAAAGAAGAACATATCACATTTTTCTTTTCTTTTATATAAGTTTAACCTCTACATGTGACTTGTTCTCATTGTTTGTTTTGATCATCAAATAAATCCCAATTCAACCAGCATTAATGCCAACATTCTGAAGAAACGTATGATTGTCTCTCAAGTACATCGTTTTTACAACTTTGTTAGCCAAGGAAGATTGGCAGCACAACATCGATGACACCAAAAGTATTGTACACACATCTGATTTTCTTTGTCTATTCTTAGTTTTTTAAATTTTAATATGATGTGTCGCGAAGTTTTCTAATAAATACACATGAACGTTCCTCAAAAAATATTATCCATTCAATATCATATGAACTTCATTTGTACTTCCAGTTAATACAAAAGAAACCATATGTATTCAATAATCAATTGGTGTTACACTTGGAAAAAATCCATACTTCAATTATATTCACAAACTAGTTCTTATACAAAATCTAGAGTAATTTTCTCATCCTTAGAGAAGATATGCACTTATTTTCATTTATTCCACTTTTTCTTTCAGTCACCGAAATAAATGTGAAAATAAACCAAACCATAGTAAATATCATGTATTCTATGCTTCTCTCAACAACAAAACAAATAACTAAAAAACAATTTTTTATATTTTGTCACAGAAAGTCTCCATGTTTTCTAACTTATTTCATTAAAAACGCATAATGTTGATAATGCATCATATTGTGTAGTTTCTTGGTTAACAAGAACATTATAAAAATGCATTGTCATTCCTTCTGTTCTATTTTTTTATTTTCCTTTTGACAACCTCGATGTAATGATGACAAAGCAGAAAAAAGCGCATGCGACGGTTCACCTTTCTCACGTATATAAACGACGCCTTACACACCACATATAGTCACTTATTTTCTATTCTATAACAAACTTCACTTCAAACAATATCAATGCCTTCATACAAACTTTATTATTTCAATGGACGTGGTCGTGCTGAAGTAGCACGGTTAATCTTTGCTGCTGCTGGTGAAAAATATGAAGATGTTCGTTATGAACGAGATCAATGGCCAGCACACAAAGCCGAGATGCCATTAGGTCAAATGCCTGTTCTTGAAGTTGATGGTGTTAAATTACCACAATCTCTATCTATTGCTCGTTTTCTTGCCAAACAATTTCATTTAGCTGGTAAAGACAACTTTGAACAAGCACAAGTTGATGCTGTTGTTGACACAATATATGATTGTTTAACAAAATATGTACCCATTCGTTTTGAAACAGATGAAGCTAAAAAAGAAGAATTAACCAAGAAGTTCCTCGCTGAAGAATTACCAAAACATCTACAAAATTTTGAGACTCTTGGTAAACTATATGGTAAAGGTGGTCACTTTTTTGTTGGTAAACAATTAACATGGGCAGACTTACTCTTCTTTGACGTTGGAGCAATAATTCTTCAAGTAGATAGTAATGCTTTTAACAATCATGCATGGTTAAAAGACAATCGTGCTGAAGTTGAAAAACAACCTAAAATTGCAGAATATCTTAAGAATCGACCCCAGACACAGTTTTAAACTACAACAGTCAAATTAATAAACAGTCATAGATTTTTATTGTAAATTTTTGAGTCAAGTTTCAAATATATATTCAAAATAGAATTTCAAATCATTTTTCTCTTATTACAATCAAACCAATTTTAGTTTTCTCAAGTGATATTGATATGATTATATGTATTATCTAGTAAGAAAATAAGTATTTTTAATGGATAACTCATAAATATTCATGTAAATATTTCATTGTCTATGTATTAAAGAACTATAATGTGAATTAAAACTGAGTCATCTATATATTGTAACTGTATTAACTTATCAGATAAACCATCTATGTTTTATCATTTATTTTCATGAAAACCACACCTCCGTGGTTGTATACAAAGTTATTTTTATATTAAATAGAAAGAAAAAAAATGCACTGTCATTCTTTCTGTTTTATTTTCTTTTATTTTCCTTTCCACGAGGTTGATATTATGATGACGAAGCAGAAAAAAGCCATGCGATGGTTCTTCTTTCTCACGTTTATAAACTACGTCTTACACACTACATATAGTTATTTTTTTCTATTCTATTCTATAACAAACTTCACTTCAAACAGCAATAATGCCATCATACAAACTTTATTACTTCAATGTACGTTCACGTGCCGAAGTATCACGATTAATATTCGCTGCTGCTGGTGAAAAATATGAAGATGTGCGTTATGAACAAGATGAATGGCCAGCACACAAAGATGAAATGCCATTAGGTCAAATACCTGTGCTTGAAGTTGATGGTGTTAAACTACCACAATCACGTACGATTGCAAGATATCTTGCCAAACAATTTCATTTAGCTGGTAAAGACAATTTTGAACAAGCAAAAGTCGATGCTGTTGTCGATACAATTTATGATTTGTTGAACGCATTTGCAACACCTTTTTTCGAAAAAGATGAAGCTAAAAAAGAAGAATTAACAAAGAAATTTCTCAGTGAAGAATTACCTAAACATTTACAAAATTTTGAGACTCTGGGCAAACTATATGGTAATGGTGGTCATTTCTTTGTTGATAATCAACTAACATGGGCAGATTTACTCTTCTATAATTATATACAATCATTTATGGAATTCAAAGCTGATTGTTTGAATAATTTCCCATGGTTACAACAGAATCGTGCTGAAGTAGAGAAACAACCAAAAATAGCAGAATATCTTAAGAATCGACCCAATTTACAATTTTAAAGGACAAAAGTCAACTTAATGAACATTCGTAGATTTTTATTGTGATTTTTTTACTGATATTTCAAATATAGAACTAAACGAAAGGTTGAAACTATTTTTCCATTTATCTTCTAATTAATTTCAATTTGTGTCAAGTGATATTGATATGATTATATATTTTATTTAGTCAAAAAATAAGTATTTTAACAGATAACTCATAAATATTCATGTAAATATTTCATTGTCGATGTATTGACGAACTAATGTGAGTTCAAATTAATTCATATAGATATTGTAACTGTATTATTTGCTCAGATACATCATCCACATTTTATCATTTATTTTCATGAAAACCACACCTCCGTGGTTGTATACAAAGTTATTTTTATATTAAATATAAATAAAAACTAGATCTCCGCTTGAAGCAAGTTCAAGTAGGAGAAAGACGGTTGACTGCAGAAGTGTAACAAACCTCATAAACGCGGAAAGTTGAACCATTTAAAATCAATTAATTAAACTCAGATAACCAAGCCACCGGATAATTACTTTTCATAGATTAGACTCTATCACGCTGGATTTAAGTCACAAAAAAATGATAATTAAAATGTATATGCATATAGTATCTTATATATCAATATTCGCATTATACTGAGTCACAGATAACCATATAAGGACATGATCATATCTCAATTAAGTTTTTTAGATTATGTACTTCCCGCACGAAACTGAATTTCAAAAAACGGTTTTCAGATGTGCACTCAGCATGTTCTCACGAATATGGCAAGCTTTTTTCCGATTGAAAATGTTGCTTAGGTGCTAAGAACGAGGTGTTGATTTGAATCGTGACTCATCTGTCGAGAACGAGAAGAAGAATATCAGTAGTAATAGGTCGACTGCTGCACTTCGTGCAGTCAGTCGCCTTAAAATTGCACTGTCATCATTTGTGTTCTGTTTTCTTTTATTTTCCATTAGACACCCTCGATGTAATGATGACAAAGCAGAAAAAAACGCATGCGACGGTTCTCCTCTCTCACATATAAATATCGTGCGTTACACACTACATATAGTTACTTTTCTTCTATTCTATAATAAATTTCACTTCAAACAACATCAATGCCATCATACAAACTTTCTTATTTTAATGCTCGTGGACGTGCTGAAGTATCACGATTAATCTTTGCTGCAGCTGGTCAAAAATATGAGGATATTCGTATTGAACGAGATCAATGGCCAGCACACAAAGATGAAATGCCATGAGGTCAGATACCTGTTCTTGAAGTTGATGGTGTTAAATTACCGCAATCAAGTGCAATTGTAAGATTTCTTGCTAAACAATTTCATTTAGCTGGTAAAGATAATTTCGAACAAGCAAAAGTCGATGCTATCGTTGATACTATTTATGATACATTGAACGCGTTTCTGCCATCTCTTCTTGAACAAGATCCAATTAAAAAAGAAGAACTCACAAAAAAATTCTTTAGTGAACAATTACCCAAACACTTACAGAATCTTGAAACTCTTGGCAAACTATATGGTAATGGTGGTCATTTCTTTGTTGGTAAACAATTGACATGGGCAGATTTACTCTTCTATAATTTTGGACAAACATTTATTGAAGCCGAAGCTGATTGTTTAAGCAGTTTTTCATGGTTAAAACAAAATCGTGCTGAAGTTGAAAAACAACCCAAAATCGTAGAATATCTTAAGAATCGACCCAAAACACCATTTTAAAGAACAAAAGTCAAATTAATAAACATTCATAAATTATTGTTATGTTTTTCTTTAGTGATATTTTAAATATATAAACAAAGTAGAATTTCAAATCATTTGTCTCTTTCCACAGTCCAATCACTTAAAATTGTCTCAAATAATATTGATGTAGTTATATGTATTATCTACTGACAAAATAAGCATTTTAATATATAACTTTTATATGTAAGTGTATAACACCACAGAAGAATGTTAAAGATGTCTCTGTTTAGATATAATAATACATGAAACTTACTTAGACTTTCTAAGTACAACGATCTCCAAGTTTTACAGGATTTGAGAAAACAGAATTAATGGTGGAATTTTAATTAGAAAAAGCATTTTTGATTGTTCGTCGAGAAAAATAACGACTTTATTATTCTTAGTTAACTTGTGACATATAACAAATTTGTGAATTCTACTTTGCGTAGTTGTAGTTGTTTCAAGATAATGCTACGAAATATCTTTTTATTCAAAACCACTTACCTGAGATTCTCTGTGTAACACAATATATCATTGTCCATGTATCCAAGAACTAATGT